AACTGGCTCCGTTTCTTTTATTTACTGTAATTTAAAGTTTAATGTGCCTCATTTAAGGCACTTTAATACATCAAATGAAGGACGTCCAGGAAGACTTTGTTGATAATTTACTTGAATGAACCATTAGAGCCGATGAAAGAAATGCACAGCAGTTAAAGAGCAACTTGAAATATAAAGCAGAGGCAGAGTGTATTTATTTGTGGCCTCCTACGACACCGAAATTAGTCCTTGTAAGTTTTTTACATGCCTCAAAAACCGCAAAGTTGTTGTGAAGCTACAAAAGCGAAAGTTACGAGGGGAAGAATTTAAATCTAGCAGCACAGAATATCTAATTAAAACTCAGCGTTTAGGGGAGTTAGCACCTCGAACATGTTTAATAAAACTAGCATGGCGTCTGCAAAACTTTGAAGGCAAAACGTTTGCTCGTATTTAGACGTAAACAGACTTCTGAGGAGATTTCACACCGTACCATGATTCAGGATGAATTCACGTCATGTTACAACCTGATAAGTTACCGACATGTGAACGTATGTGGACACAGATGATGAAAATCTGTGCATTTCTGGCCATTGGATTAGAAACATGTCTATTACAGCTCAATAACTGAAACCCCAAAAAACAAAACTGGTGAAAAATGAGGGGGAAATTAATTCATTTATGCAGATAAAAACCTGCCATAATTGACTGAGGGCTCTGCTTTGAGTCAACAGTAGAGCAAAATGTACAACTTTAGAAGCAGAACTAAAACAGTAGAAAAAAAAACGTGAGTCATCATCAACACTGTGGAAGATTTAACTGCTGTTGACTTTAACGATACGATTGTCAGCTCAAATTAACACAATGAACATTGCTTCATTCCTCCTCTTTTGCTCTTTTCTGTTAAATAAAAAGTAAATGTAGTTGGACAGTATTTTAACGATATTAATTAAGAACAGCGGAAATGCATCAGGCGAATTACAAAACAGACTCGGTGAGATTCTGTTTGTGTCGCAACCAAAAACAGGAAATCTGTTCTTCTTTTTAGTTCCTCCAGCACTGATAGTAGAACCAGTAATGTCAGAGCTCACTGGTCTTTAATAATTCAGCCCTGGGGCTCGTTTAATACCACGTTACCAACCCCTAATTAAGACCCACTGTGAAAACAAAGGCCTAAAACTGCAGCTAATTACTCTGTTTAACGGTGAACGGACCCGTTATCCTCTGGGTTGATTGCTTGTTTGATGTATGACGAGTCACGAGGTCTTTAAATCGCTTCAGTTGTTGCTTCAAAAAAAGGCAGAATCTGTGTTATTATAACAGTTAATTAATCAACAGCCGTGTTAGCTCGTTAACTCTGGAGCTTTCATTAGATTAATATCATGTTGCGTCACTGATGTGGGCCTGAACCAGACTCTGGTCGTGTTTGACCCGTTTCAACTCCGTGCGAGCAGATAACGGTGAGGGCAGCAGAGGAGGACTGGTCGGACTGGGCAGGGAATCAGTGGGTGCTGCTGGTGGAGGAACAGAGGACGGAGGGAACGGAATAATTGGACGGCGGCCTGGCGAAGCCCAAAGAGCAGCGCCAGGCTCAGCGAGAGTCTTTTCTGCATGGCTGCACTCTTGCAGGACGTGCCTAGACGCTTAACAAGTTCCCCGGAAACCCACCGGCCGAGACGAGCTGCAGGATGACAGCGAGGAAACGCGAGCATCCTTCAGCCAAACAAGAAACCCGAGCCGAGTCGTGCGTGCAAAACAAACTGTGCAGAAATATATTTGCACAAATCGGTGTTGAAGTCGAAACAAGTGAATTGGTTTTTCCTAAAAAAAAAGGAGGCCGAATGCAAATGAGCTGCGCGGAACCGAAGCGAACGGCGGATTTTGGCTCACGTGCCCGAGACAGTGTCGCTGCTCGGGGCTCAGAAAAAAAAAAAGAGAGAAAATGTCCTGCCAGCCTTCGCCCTATTTAAAGCAGCGCTGCTCTGCAAGCCGTGCACGAGCGCTTCGGGGAGGAACACGCATGTTACATAAACAGAGACGGAGGTTGTGACAACGCCATGACACATGGGTTCACAGCATCCGGCCTCCTCGCTGCAGCACAGCCTCACCTCCAGAACCGACCCGATTTTCTGTCATAGCGTTTAAAAAAAAACGGCCCTGCAGCAGAGCATGGCAGCAGCTCAGCATCGTGTTTAGAACAGAAAGTCAGCGGGTTTGAGTAGAAGCTCCTCCACGTCTGCTAACACGTATGTTTTTAAAGGACGAAGACGGACTTCACGGTCCAACACCAAACTTATGATGTACAACAGGCTCCTCGGTGCCATCTGTTCGCTCCGATATCTGCTGCACGGCGTCGACAACCTTCAGCACACTGCTGCTGTTTCTGAAAACGTGTCCATGTTGTTTACTTCAGCTCATTCTGACAAACGTCTTTCTTCAGTATCACCAAGCACCGTTCATCTCTGAGTCCAGTCACTGGTCAGGGTTCAGTGTGAAAGTCTGGGAGGACTTTAAATGATCCCAGAACAACAAGACGGTTTTGTGCACCGAGCAGAGTTGAGATGTCGGATCACAGCAGCTGTGTAGCTTCTCTCCTGCTCCCTGTGCTCGTATGAACTGAAGTTTTATGCAGCAAATTCTCAAAAAAAAAGCTGTTTTCTTTCGTCCAGCTGCAGAACGAGTATAAAATAATGACTGAAATGAGACTCAATGTTCACTCTGTAACAATAAATCCTGATTTTATAACGTGGTCGCAAGCAAACACGAGTTAAAGACGTTCGCTGAGCTGTGAATTCAGAGTTTTTACAGAGTTTTTTTTTTATTGTCAGTTCCTCTGTATGTCCAGAGGAACCGAAAGACATCTCTCACCTTATATTAGTGCCATGCAATAACAAAAAGGATCAAAATGCAGTCTAAGTAAAATAAAATAGAATTAAATATATAAAAATCACCCTACGTACCCTGCCGGTAGTGCAGAGGCTTTAATAGAAACTTAACCTAAATACTAAACCCTCTTTTTTAAATATGTTTTCATCACGTTAACAGTTTAAGTCTCTAGTTTTGCACTTAGTTGCAAATAAAACAATGCTGACGAAAGAAATAAAGTTTTTGAAGGGAAATTACTTTGACATTAATCGACTAATCACGAAAATAAATTAGTCTTGATTATATTTAGATTGACTGTTAAATTAGTTGATAGAAAAATAATAATAATTAGAGGCATTTCAAAGTCTTAAATCTTATCTCGCTGATGATGTCTATCAGCAAACTTAAAATCAAAACTTTAATTGGTCGTTGGTTGTCGGACATTAAATCAGACTGAACTGTTCCTGTTTCAGGTCAATCAGGATTATCAACATTATTTCTATTTGCTAAACGAGGGAAAATTTTTAGAGATTATTTTATGACTTTCTTCAGAGTCAGAAGTTTCCATTCACTCAGACGCCTTCAGACTATGTGTGAAAGCCCAGGTGATGATGTCACGGCTTTGGAAGCTTCTGATTGGTTCATTGACGACATCTGAGTTAATTGGAGGCACACCTGTGGATGTATTGTTTTAAGTTTCAGCTGTATATATTCATGTTTATATTTGTTTCTTGTGTGTTTTTATTCTTTCTTCTTAGCGTTTCGGTTTGGAACATGAGCGTTATTCTGTGTTTATTTGTGTCTGACAATTAAAACTCTTGAATCTTGAATCAAATGAACTCAGACGCGTCAGGCTGCAGCTTCTGGTTGGAGTTACGTCAACATGTATCGCAGAAAAAGCAGAACTATCCTGACGTGAGTGTTTTTCCAGCTGTAGCTTCACTGATCCAAACAGCTCCGACCTTCACGGCTGCTTTTCGTCTCCCAGCGTGATTAAGAGCTCGTCGGCGGTTTGGGTGTGATGCAGCAGGAACACGGTGAAGCGTTGAGGGGGCGGTCGGGGAGCAGAGTGACGCTGGGTCACTGTTGAAAAAGAGAAGGAAACCGTCCTTATCTGCTGCTTCGTTCTGTGTCAACGAGCCTTTAAGCTCTGACCGAGTTCCGCTTTGCTTCCCCGCAGAGTTTGGAACGCCCTGACCGACAACTACGGCAACGTGATGCCGGTGGACTGGAAGACATCTCACGCTCGCTCGCTGCACCTGCCCACCCTGAACCTCATCGAGCACGAGGTACAAATGCACATTCATGTTGTGTAGCGCTACGACACAATCACACCAACACCGACTTATCGGCCCTCTGAGCTCCAAGCAGCCGTTTCTTTGTGGTTTTTTGCAACCAGAAACGACTGAACCGACACAAATCATAAAGAAAAGTTGAATTTCTCTCAATATTTAATCACCAGAAACATGTTCATTTGCAGCTGTGGCTGTACAGACTGTAGATATTGTACTTTTTTAATATTTTATTTAGATTTTTTTCCAACATAAACAAACAGACGACAGGCAGGAGGACCAGAGGACCTGGCAGAGCTTCAGATTATGTAGAAGAACAACAGCCAACGGGCGTCATGCAGTTTAAAGCTGAGAGATGTCCGTACAGTTTAAAGACAAAACGATATCCTACATTTATTCTTTGCATCCGTGCACGTGCTCTCTGCAGGTCGGCTCAGTTCAAGCGAACAGTCCCCGAGTTTTCACCACGTGACCGTCGCCCACAGCTGAGTCACTCGCGGCTCCTTGGAGTGACCGAGAAGCTCAGAATTTTCCTTTTTTTTTTTTACAGAATCCGTTTAGTGTGAACGCTTTGGTTTTTTTGCAGAATAAATGTATTTGGATGAAATGTGACGGTTTTTGCTTTACATTCGATTAATTTTTTTGGTTCAGATGCTGCCAGAAAAGGTTGAGATTTAAAGATTATTTGTGTTTTTACATTTTTTTGCAGGTAAATATGATGATTTGGGTGTTTTTTGGTCTTATACTCTTTTGCATCCTTTTAGTTTTGTCTGTATGCACCACATAGAAACATGTTCACCGTGCCCATAGTTGGCCTCTTCTTTTTTTTTTTCATCACCGATATGATCTGACGATTATTTTTTCACTGTATTAACATTTTGGGCTCAAAAACACCCAAAAAATTTCAAATCCAATTTGATAAATGTATGATTTATTACAATAAAGAACACAAACATGTTTAACGGAGCATTTTCAGAATTGAAGATGTGAACGTAGGCTGCAGATATGAACACGAAAAGGTGAATTTGATGTAAAAATCAAACTAAACAAAAATATTTGCAACTATATACAGAGCAGGTGTTGATTATATGACCTCTAAGGGTTAAAACTCATCAACTGTTTTGGATTTCACAGGATCAATCCTGATATCACAGAACTTAAATTAACTTAATGTTGTCAGCAGCTACTGTCTGAACAGTTTGAGGTCGGTTCAGCAGACCTGTAATTAAAAATCTACTTTCAATTAAATCAAAACTAAACGTATGAACTTTAGTGAACTTAACGGCAGCAAACTTTTATTTTGAAAAAAAATAACTCACTGAATTCAAAGCGACCGGATCGATGCGACGTTTCCCCCGCAGATGATCTCAAAGTGGCGTTTAGTCGGCCCGGTTAATCCGCCAACCGACTACCGGGTCTGTCGCCGGTGTTCAATCTGCTTAGCCACCTGGCCGCCGTCTCATCCAAGTCTCTGTTTGTGAACCTCAGAAGCTGGACAACCAGTCTCTGGACCTGTCGGACGACGAGGAGCTGAGGGAGCAGATGGACATGCACTCCATCATCGTGTCCTGCATCAACGACGAGCCGCTGTTCACGGCCGAACAGGTGATTCACACGTAGACGCATTCGTCTCCACATGGTGTTAATACGTCACAGTTTACCTCCATGAGAGAGTTTACAGGCACCTCAGTCTCTCAGGTTTTTATTCACCATCTCAGCCTCAGTGTCTCTGAAACCATTTGCAGCTCACACCTGATCATCACCAGAATACGTCGATGTTTTCCACAGAATTTTTTCAGACAAATCATCTCTGTAGGATTCTGATTTCCACTGATGTTTACACCAGCTTTCAGTAACGTGTTGTACACATGTACATTTTAAACATTGCATTTCAAGACAAATGACGCACGAACTTGGAGCAAAAACATAAAGACAAACAAAAAAAAGGCAGCCGAAAGACGTTGCCCTAGAGTTTAAGAGGTGCTTTAAGGTCGTCTCATCGCAATAAAATCATGAATTTGTGCATAATCTGACAAAGAACAAGTTGACGATCAGGTATAGCCCCGTGATTTATTAATCAGATTCCCCAGCAGATTGTTAAAGGGATTCAAATCCTCTTAAAACTGTCACTTCACCTGTTAAGTCAGTCGCCTCGCTTTAGTTTACTTCCCCAAAATGAACACTTTATGACCTACAAGTAGCTCTAAATCCAACATGTTTAGTTTTGTTGTTGAGCTCTAACACAAAGAAGTCTTTTCATGGACCTACACGCACTGAATTTAGTACAAATATCTGAAATATTATTGACGTTAAGCTGTAATTTAGTGCATCAACCGGCAACAACAGAAGAATCAAACTAAACTGAACCTAAATAAAAAGCTGGAAAAAAAGGTGTTCCCAGAAACAAATATCAGCGTTTATCTGATGAGATTACTGGCATTTCAAACGGCTACAACAGCCTCCATTCCCTGACGTATTTGTAGAGTGTATATATGCAAAATCACCTGTTTGGGATTATTCTGTTATTAAACTTTCGAGCTGAAGAACCTAAACGAAGCCCTTGACCGTGTTTGCTAACTGTATGAAGCGTCTAACGCTACTAATAAATCACCTGGAGGTCTTTGATAAGCCGTAAACAGACTCTATTTACTGAAGAGTCCGATGGAGGACGTTTACAGCCCCTGAATGAACCAACAGCAGCGATAACATGTGATGTTGAATGATCGGGGTGCGCTCCTTCAGCTTATGGTCCACTTCTCTAAATGTGATTTACGAGTCGCCGTCCAGGACCAATCCATTAGGCGGCGACGGGTTTTTACTTCCCTGTGTGGTGAAACAGTACGGCCAGTTATCGGTTTCTCTTGAGCTTCACTGGTTAATTATTTACTGAGTTGAATCCACAACGAGGCAGAGTGTAAAATTATCAAAATACAGTGACTAGAATTGTCTGTAAATGTCTGATAGCTTCCAGCAGACTCTTACATTTAGTTTAACTGCATCTATTCAAGGTTTTCTTTAAGTCTTTTGTCATTAATTGATTAATTGTTGTTAGTAATTTAAACGATAAAAAGAGTAATTTTACGAAACGTATTTTATATTAGCTGCAGTACCTGATAGCGACCATAGGGGGCGACTCTGTGGACAGTTCGTGTGGGGGTTGATCTACCATGACAGAGACTTCTGTGGCTGTTAATGGCTACCGACCAGAGTTTCTGTTTATTGGATGATACGTGAGCTGCCATGACGGCGTTCCGTTACCAAGCCGAGCTGCGATAGCGACGATAACGATTATGGGTCGGGAAAACTGTCCCTCCGTAGTTTCAGTAATGACACAAGCAGGTCAGACTGAAATCAAAGCTCTGCTGTATGTTAATCCAGAGCGACAGACCACGTCAGCCCTCGGCGTCGGAGCCTTGACCTCGCCAGCAGCACCAACACAACCACGATACGACTGAAAACACAGACCGAGGCTAAAATAACCAACATGATCGACTGCTGTGAACTTTTCAGGTGATCGAGGAGATCGAGGAGATGATGCAGGAGTCTCCGGACCCCGACGACGACGAGAGCCCGTCCCAGTCCGACCTGTCCATGCTCTCCCAGGACCTCCACGCCCTGAAGCGCTCCGGATCCAACACCAGCTACGAGGACCGTGAGTGCCGACCCGATCTCGTTCCTCCTCGTCTTAATCGAGCGTAATCGGCCGAGAAGCGACCTCGCACACGTGACTTCAGTCTTACATAACGAACGCACACAGATCGCGTTGCCCGGAAACATTACGTAACCGACCGCATACGTCCGGTTTGTGAGTCCAGGCCGCTGCACAGGGAGCTTGGACCCAGAAAGCCTCCAACGTGAGACGTTTTGCTGCAGGTGCCGACAACACAATGTGGGGGGTTCGCTCTGAAGCTACACCAGATGTTGCTAAAAAACAAAAAAGACTCATGACCTTAAAAGCTTTTGTGTAGCTCGAGATTAAGTGGAGGCTTAAACGGATGATGCCCTTTTGTCTGTTTAGAAAGTAGCTGCACACGTTAGTGACCCAGTAAACAAACATTTATCTGTCTGCTGAAGGTAAAGTCCAGTCCCGAGGTTTAACTTGTGATCAGGAGTCTGTAGATTGATTTAACAACTGATGAATCTATCTCCAGGCCTCCGTCAGCTGTCGGTGTCGGAGCTCACCGAGACGCTGGAGGAGGTGGAGACGGCGATCCGGCGCTTCAGCGAGGAGCTGATCCAGGCTCTGGCGCTGAGGGACGAGCTGGAGTACGAAAAGGAGGTACGTTGATTTGTTAACGCTGGAAAACCAGTCAGACGATTCTGAAGCAAAGAAGCTTCAAAGCAAGTTCAGAAACCAACCATTTGCACATCTGTCGTCGGTGGGAGCAGAGAGAGACGAGCGGCGTATTTTTAGCGCCGTTCGCTTCCACGTCATCGTTCTGCTGGGGGGGATTTTTTGACAGCATCTAAAAATGGATTTCTTTGAGCGTTAAGTGTATAAATATCCGACAAGTAAAGAGCTGCAGTCGAGCCTGACATCCTGAGCGCTTTAGAAATGAGAGACGACGCTGTTTACACAACTCAAACTCAGCTGGGATCCATCGAATCATCACTTGGTTTTCAACTCTTATATTGATTGCCAATTATTTAGATTAAATATTTGGCTTGACGTCTATATTCTGTAATTGCGGTTTCTTAAATGTGAATATTTTTAGTGTTATACAGCTTATATGTGATAGAATTAACCATTTTTGCAATATTTTGAGCAGAAAAACTGAAAGACACATTGTGGGGACACGTGGCTTTTTATTAATTTACTGAAAATTGGCACAATATAGGATCTTTAAATGAAAATCAACAAGATTTTTGTCAGATGAGAGCATATCGACCAACCAGTCGACCAGCTAGACTCGTTTGTAGCGTCATTTCCTTCAAAATCCTAATTCTGTTGTGGAGTTTTTCTGACAATATCTTAAAATAGATTTCCTTAAGAAGAAGTTATTGCTGTCCTTGTTATGAAAGACCACATTAATGATTAAAAATGTGAGTTCAAAGCTCCAATATTTGACCTCAGAGGTCACATATATGCAACAAATCCTTCTTTGTTGTGTTTGCAGGTGTAAAATAAAAGATTTTTGGGGGAATATGCAGCTTATTAATAATAAAATTAACATCATTTTGAAGTATTTTGAGCAGAAAAACTGGAAGACACATTGTGGAGACTGAATAATTTTCTGAAAATAGGCCTTTAAATGACAATAAACAAGAGTTTTGTCATATTGACCAACCAGTTGACCAGTTTTTTTGATGATATCTTAAAATATATTTCCTTAAGAATAAATTTTTGCTTTTTTTGTTTTGTGAAAGACCACATAGATACTGTAGGTGCTTAAAAAAACAAGAGTTTGCCCTGAAATGCTGATATAGACGATTATTTGCTTTAACAAGAGCCTATTATGTTCTAGCATATTTCTGACAGTCGATTTCTCCAGGTAGTAAATTACCAGCAAACTGTTGTGGTTCTTAGAAACAAAGCAGCGTCACTGAAACGTGTCTTTGTGCGTGAACAAGGTGAAGAACAGCTTCATCTCGCTGCTCATCGACGTCCAGAACCGGCAGAAGGAGCACCGCGAGCTGCTGAGGAAGAAGAAGAAGATCCGGAGCACGACCACGACGGGACCCAACGGCCAGCGGACGGCGAGCACGCACATACCGGGAACGGTGAGTGGACACGGCGGGCGCACATCGGCTGCATTTTAACGCCATGACGTTCCCCAGACTCTCAGGACGGACGCTTGAGCCGACAGTCTGCATGCAACCGTCAGAGCTTTTCTTCCTCCTGACGTAGAAACTGGTGTCCAACCTTGTCTCTCCTCCTTCCTCTCGCTCCTCCCAGCTGCTCACTCTGGAGGGACTCTCCAATGTCATTCAAAACGGCATCCGTCAAACTTTTGGCAACACGGGAGGAGACAAACAGGTCTTTGTTCTGCTCTGTGCTTTTCTTCTTCCTTCCCATCGGCATGTTTGTTTCCGGTTTTATCTTCTCAGTTTGTCGTCGTCTTGTTCTTGTTTTTTTTTTTTTTTCAGTTCTTGTGTCACTTTTATTTTGCAGCTTTCTTGTTTGTGTTTGGAGATGATGCTGTTGCATAATCGCTGCTTCTTCTTCTTCTTTTTTTTTTTTATTTCCTTCATGTCAGTAAACATTTGGGTCCTGGAAGCCGGCGTACAAACATCCTCTCAGTTTCCATCTGCTCGTATGACCTCCATGACAGACGCCATGTTTTATAACCCGGCCTTGTTTTGTTCCAAACCCTGAATCAGAAGCTTCTAGTTTCTAACGTCGTGTTTTTCCTCCACAGTACCTGACCACAGTCATCCCTTATGAGAAGAAAGCAGGTTCTCCGGCAGTGGAAGACCTGCAGATCCTCACAAAGAGTGAGTCTGTTCATTTGGAGTGCTTCTTTTTTTTTTAAACCTGATTTAATGTTTGTTTTCAGTCAGTAACGAGCTCCTCTCTCCGTGTTAGTCCTCCACGCCATGAGGGATGACAGCGAGAAGGTCCCCGCCCTGCTAACAGACTACATCCTCAAAGGTAAACACTCAGACGTCCTCACTTCTACACACCTTCAGGTTAACGAGGAACAAGCCGAGAACCTTGATTGGTCGGTGTTGCTTTCAGAAGTCCGTCTTTGTGGCGGTAAACACTCCCCAGCTTACGTATAAACATGTTTCTACTTAATTATCAAGCAAATCTGAAGCAAATCTGGTTTGGAGCGAACAAGGTGTCACCAGAAGGTGGCGCTGCAGGCACATATTACACGTCTGTGTTAAACAGAGGGTCCTGCGATACCCAATAGAATCAGAACCAGACGGGTTTTATTGACAAGTACAAAGAATTCGACTCGACGGTAACGTGGATTAAAAACATGTTTCAGGAAGTGGAATGAAGGGATTAAGAGTCACGGAAACGCTTTAAGGCTGCAGGAGTGATGCAGCAGATTAATGTTCGGTACGATCCAGGACACCGTTAGTTAAATGTAGAACAGCAGAAACACCTGCAACACCTTTAACGCTGACCGCAGTCTGTCGGAGCAGAAACAGCTGATGGGTCACAAAAGGTGTGAACGTCGTCCATGAGGCTCATTAATTTCTTCAATTTTTTAACTTAATTTTTTTTATATCATTATATGTAATTTAAAAAAATATATTTCTTCATGTTTTTTACTTTTTGGATTTTTTTAATGATATAGTAATTTTAAAATATTTCTTCAATTTTTATGCTTTAAAATATTTTATGATTATTATACATAATTTTAAAGTATTTCTGTTTTTTTTTTTTTACTCTTTTGATTTAAAATTTTTTTAGGATATTTATCTTATATTTGTGTGTGTTTTTTAAAATATATGTATATGTGTTTTTTTGTTGTTTTTTTGCTTTTGTGATTTTTTTTAAAAAGTTTTTATTTTGAGAATATTTATATCATAAATATATATATATATATTATTGATTTAACTTTATTTTTACATTTTTGGGGGAATGTGTCCAGATACATATTTTCAGTGTATTTAGTCCATCTACAGACGACATGCTGATGTTTTCTTGCTACGGTTTCAGTGCATCAACATTTTCTTTGTGTGGATTCAGTCCTCGTATCAGGACAGTTTGCTGCAGACGTTATCTCTTCCTGCTGCTTCAAACAGGAAGCTCAGAGTTCACTTTGAGAAGCGAGCGTGGTGTCAGACATGAATGAAAGCAGGAAATGCTGCTGTGTGTTGACTTGTGCCTTCCTTGTCTCTCACTGTGCTGCTTCGCTCGGCAGCTCTGGTATGAGGGCGGCACAACCCGAGGTTTGTGAGGCTACAACAGATTCTTCTTCTCTGTCTGCATAGTGACGTCACCTTTACCTCCTCTTCTTCTTCTTCTTCTTCGTCTTCTTGGCTTCCTGCTGCGTAGCGCCGCTAGCTGCACCACCAACACACTCATGCACATCGTAGCCGTTCACCTGTTTGCTTCTCACCTGTGCTCAGTGTTTCCTCTCCGTCACCGTGTTCTTCCCGTCGTAGCTGCTCTCCCGTTAGCGCCTCAGCATTTCTTCTCCTCCTCCTCCTCCTTCATCTTCGTCTCTTCTTGTCTCCACAGTTCTCTGTCCCACGTAAAGCCGGACGCCGGACCTCCAGAGCCGCCCGCTCCAGCAGAAGGTTCTGGAAACCAGACGCAGATTCATCATAGACTTTCCTCCCTCGTGGTATTTTTTACTCTGTCGTTCCTGAGATTTTAACTCTTTTAACTTTTCGACGCTTGTGTGTTCTCGCTGCATGACGCCAGTAATCAGTATTAACGAGTCGTTTCCGGGGAAACGCAGTCCGACCCGCCCGTTCCTCCGAGCGCGTCGGGAATCCTGGCACGATCTGTGAACCTCAAAACTTCCAGGAGCGTTCGAGCATTACTCCCCTTCTGTTCTTTTGTTTCCTGTAAATTAGCATTAATGACGAAAGCTACGAGCTCGCTGAGGATCAAAGAGCAAAACCCTTTAATTTAACGGCAGGTGCTTCTGTTGCTGCATGTCGGCTTTGGGTTTGTGCTCCGCTGAATGTTAACGGAGGTTCTGGTTTGTTTCTACCCGCCGGGTTTCACGCTCACGTGGCTCTTCAGGCTAATGCTAACCGCTACAGCTTCCAACAACAGACAATTTATACAGGAATCGCTGTAAGTTTTGAGTGATTTCAGAGACATATTGAATCATTTTGGGCCTTTTTCCAATCTTTCTAGACACTTTAGATATAATTTTGGGCAGTTTTGGAATCATTTTATCTCAATTTTAAGCACTTTTGGGCAAGTTTTCTGTTGTTTTGGAGACATTGAATCATTTCTGAGTCTTTCTGGACACGTTTGAAATCATTTTTGGGCAGTTTTGAGTCTTTTGCATACATGTTTGGTCATTTTAAAGCAATTTTGGCAAAGATTCGGATTTATTTAAGCAATTTTCTATTAATTCTGTGCAGATTTCCTCACTCTGCTTTAAGTTCAGAAAATTTCTCATTTTGGCCAAAATTTTGAGCAACTAAAGTTTTATGATTTTGGCAAAGTTTTAAATACCTCTAACGTCTGATTCAGTTCCTCATCTCTTGACTTGCAGTAAATAAGACTATATAAGTTCTTTATTATTTATTACGTACATTATTTTACAATATTTGCACAAGAAAACACAAGTTTTGAATCATTTTGCACTTTTTTTTTGTCATTTTGGCTGAATTGTGAGTAAAATTCAACTTTTTTTTTTGCAAATTTGACAACACTTCCAGTCATTTAGGGCCAATTTTTAAGTCACTTAGAGAAATTTCAGTATTTTAGTTGCATTTTGAGTAATTTTGAACAAATTCTATTCGGCTCATTTTTGATTTTTCAGTTTTATTTATGTGTTTATGTTTATTTATTCGTTTTTAAGAATTATTTACAGGGACTGAAATTAAACATTTCATCCTCATTGTTTACTTTCAGTCAGACTTTAACTAAATCTGATTTATTTCTGAAGCTAACGGACCAGAACCGTGTGGCTTCAACAGGAAACGCGGCCGGTCGGAACAAACCAGAATCCTCCTCCACAGATGAAATATTTTGTATATGATGGAGAGGAAATTGCACAGTTCTGGGAACTTTTTACTTCTTTGGAAAAAGGGAAAAAAAGCAAACAAAGAGAAAAGGCTTGAGGAGGTTGAACAAAGCTGTACAGGCATATTTTTGGACAAAGGGTTGTTTTTAGTGACTTTAGACGTTTGTAATGTTTTTGTAAACGCCCGACACCTCCGGCTCCCCACATTTCACGCAGATACCTCACGTGTCTCGTTCGCCCGTCGTCAGCTCGCCCGCTAGTCGTGTCGTGGGGTTTTTAATCTCTGTTAGCTGTTCAACTTTAGGGATCTCGTGGTAGCACTTTGCTCTGTAGCTGCAGAGTCGCTGTAGATTAGCGCTGTAGAAACTTTAGCTGAAGTCGTGTTCATATCCAGCACCCGTTTAACACTTTAGTCACTGTGAGCGCGAGAATTCAACCTGAGAGAGGCGCTCCACCGATTCTAGATGTGATCGTCTGGGCCGAGACGAGCTGCTTTAACATTTAACAGTCGAGTTTGAGTCTTTAATGTCGGTCTGGAGATTCTGCTCCCATTAAATATAAACAGACTTTGAGTTATTTGGCACAGTTTTTGTCATCTTTGCTAAATTCTGGGTAATGTTTAACATATTTTCCTCATTTTGGCAAAGTTTTAAGTTAATTTGGAGACTTTTTGGACGTGTTTAAAGTCATTTAAAGGCAAATTATTGAATTATTTTAAAAAATATTCACCATTTTGGATAAATTTTGAAAAATTTTCATTGTTTCAGATGAATTTTTAACAACTTTGGTCACTTTGGCAAAGTTTCAAGTTCATTTGGACAAATTTTTTTCACAAGTTTTGAGTCATTTTGTTAAATTCTGAGTAAAAAAGTTATTTTGGAGTCTTTTTGGACGTGTTTAAAATCATTTAAGGGCAAATTTTGTAATGATTTTTGAAAATTTTTCACCATTTCGGATAAAAATTTAAACAATTTTGGTGGCTTTGGCAAAGTTTCAGCAAGTTTTTTTGCACAACTTGTGGTTTTTTAGCTAAATTCGGAGTAAAATTTACCATTTTTGATCATTTTGTTAAAGTAAATAATAATATCTAGATAGTAAATGTTCAAACAGCTCATCCTAAGACCAGGATTGTTTCTCATGATGCTACCTTCTGCTTCGTCGCACTTTCTTGGCTCCACTGAGCCAGAAACCGTCGATCCTCCGTCGTCATGGAGGATCTTTTAATTACTTAGATGCACCTTGAAGAGATGAGGAAGTCTGAGCTCCTAAACCAGCTTGTTTTTTTATCTCGTTAGCTCGTCTGTCAGGTGTTTTTTAAATGCTGAAGACTCATCGTGAGCTAAACAAGCAGCAACGTCACAGCTGAACGTTTTCACCTTCAAACCGCAGCATTAAAATCCTTTAACTGTGTCAACATCCACGTCTTCCTCACGACGTTCTTGCAGGGACCAGCGAAGTCGCAACGAAGAGACTCGTAATGAGAAGCATCCGGGAGGCTTGTGCTGCATCATGGGAGTTGTAGTTTGTCTGGATGGGATCGGTGGAGTGAAGCTCTGAATCTCCAGGTTCTGGTACGCCAGCGTTCAGATCACCAGCTGCTCCGGGTGCTCCGTCAGATCAGGTGTAGCCCTCAGGTACGATCACCGGTGTTTGACGTCGTTTTAGCTTTTTGTCTCTCCGAAGCATGACTAAATAATCCAGGTAGCATCGCAGGTTTTACCGAAGTCGTAGCTTCTGCTCCGTGTAGCCGTCGGTTACGTGAGGAATCACAACAACAACAAGAAGAAGAGCTCGTATTTAACTATTTATATGTTTCTCTACAGCGACGAAAACATTCACGACCGAGCATGAGCTGCATGCACTTTACTGGTGACTTGTTTACAGGCAGGTAGTTCTAGTATCACACTAAAGGGACGAGCGCATGTGGAAAAGCTTCAAGCAAATAAAAAAAAAAAGCAATCAGAGCCAACGTTTTAATCCCAATCTGGTGAATGAAAGCGGTTTTCTGTCAGCGCTGGTTGTTTTCTAACGGCGTGGGCAGACATATCAGAACATAACTACACTTTAGAGATTTATATTTATACAACAAGCAGCAGACTAATACAGAAACAGAAGCTGCCTTTGTAAAAAACAATCTTTGTACATTTAACAAACTCCTTTTTTGTTTTTAACGATCCCGCCTCGTCGGGGTTTTATAATTCCTGTCTCATGTGGTACTGCGTTCGATTAATTTATTATGTAAATGTTTGTTTTGTAACCATATTATTGACTGTAACGGTACAAGTGTTTGTGCCCACAATGCATTGCAACTCATTTCAAATAAAAAGAAATAAGATGTGACGATGTGGAGGCGAGTTGTTGTTTTTCATTAATTGCACCTCTGAACCACCGAGACGCCTTTGACTCCTCTGAAGGAGTTACTAGAAAGTTCACCAGAAGACATGTGGAGGCTCTGAAGTCTACTGGAAGAAGGTTCTTTGGTTTGAGGAGACCAACGTGGAGCTGAACATCATCACAACCACACTGTCGAGACTATGAAGCACGGTGGTGGCAGCATCATTGCAACTCATTTCAAATAAAACAAATAAGATGTGAGGACGTGGAGAGGAGTTACTTTTCATTAATTGCACCTCTGAGCTTTGAAAAACTGGTTCAAACACCTGCTGATGAATGAAACGAGCTCCAAACTACCGTCGTTTGTCATGAATTTACAGTCAAACTTCCACATAATTTTCTTAAATGTGAATCATCTGTGAACATATTTTTTTAACACAGTTCTCTGTTGACAAACAAACTCAGAATCAATGAGACTTCTGGTTTAAATGCAGGATTTATTGATAATAATAAAAAGAAGCAAAAACTTACAAAACATCAGCTACAAAAAAAAAGATTTTTTTCAAATAATTCAACGTGTTTTGTTGTTTTTATTTATCTTTTTCTCAACGTAATCTTTTAGTTTGCCAAAAGAATCACAACCAACAATTTGAATTGAAATAAATTTAGCTTCTGGAATAAGTTCTGTCCAATCCAAAGATGTTATTTTCATCTTGTAGGAATAAATTCACTCCTTAACATTCACGTCTTTCTACAAAAAACCAAAGAAAATTAAAAAATGAAACTCTAAAAGCTTCAAATCGTTTTCTTCGTCAACACTCGATGGTTCAACCTGTAGAAGAAACTGCACTTTTACTCTCATTACAAAGTCGAGAATCTGCTGCTGTTTCGTTTTGGTGTCTTAAAATGTGAATTTGGAGGTTTTGTTTTCTCAAATGATGTAGAATCAGATCAGGAAGAGGATTAAAAGACAGTGGAGGAGCTTTCTGGCCAAAGGAGGGCTGAGATTTTAATGTGTCGATGTTTGAATGAATCAAAACACTGTTGGTTTGAGTGAATCAGGACCTGAAGTATGAATCATTTCCTGTACAGTATAAACCAGGAGTCCATTTTTACATCAGTTAAGTCATTTTCTCAACACTGAAATCAATCAAACAGGACTTGTGAGCTGTTTCTTCCGTTTTTTACGTAGAATACTGCGATGAGCCACAACGTTAAAGTTAAAAACATCTCGTTAGAGGACGACGTTCTGCTGACGAACCTCAAGTCCTGCATTCAACTGAAGCCAACCTGACATCTAAACGTTGCTTCAGACCTCAAAACCTGCTCAGGAGTAATTTAAGGAGCAAGTTCACACAATCAATGTTCGTTTTAAGGATATGCATCGTTTCAAATAACGTTCCTTTGAGGTTAAAAGTGAACCAGGACAGAACGTTTTGACAAGAAGGTTGTTTGATGAAAGTACAAAAGAAGAACCACCAAAAAAAATTGTTTTCGAGATGTCAAATCCTGAAAACATTCTTGTAACGTCATTAAAAGGTGGAACTTTTTGTCTGCGACGTTCTGAGGATGTTGTTGAGGGAACACATTATGAAACGTCCCAACAAAGGAAAGAGGTTCTCAAAGCAACATTCAGAGAACATTCTGGGAACTAGACCAAACCAAACATTAGGACTCCAAGTTCATCAGATCTCAGCCCGATTGAGGATCTGTGGGATTCACCAGAACCGGTCTGATCCGTAGAAGCTCCGACCTGAATATTCAGTGTTGATGTTTAAAGAGAAAAACGCTGACTCACTTCATGGCACTTTCAAACTGTGTCCACCAAGCTGATGAAAGATCTCGACATCTTTACCCAAAGAGCGTCCAGAAACACCAGGAGACGACCTCAGGAGCTTCCAGGATGGAAATCAGAGAAGGTTTACAAAAACACCAGAAGCAGTCGTCTGCAAAATATCAAAGGAAATAAATAATACGATTGTGCGTCTTTTAGTTCGTCTGTTTCAGTTCGTGTTGTGTCCTCGACCAGAGCAGATGTTTCCTGCTTCCACTCGGTAAGAATGACTCTCGTCCAGCGATGTTTAAACGTCAGGATGTGCAGCGACGTCCGATGTCTGAACATCGGGTTCTGCCGGGTCACAGGTTGGTGTCGGTGAACATGGTGTGCTCCTTCCTCACGGTGCTGAAGCCTTTGATGGTGTCCACGAACTCCTCGTCGTCCATAAACTGAAGAGACACAAGAGCAGAGTTTGTTAAATAGAGGACACAGCAACACGTTTATATTCGTGTTTTATGACTTCACAGCCTTGAATCTTGGTCAGTTTAATTCAGACTATAGAACACTCACAGCAAGATTATTGAAAAGCATCAGAGCACGGATACAAGAACGTTTCCAAGTTACTGAACATCTCTGGAGTCCAGTTAAATCCATCATTAAGGAATGGAAGGAATACGGAACATGAGTAGATCTGACTAGAGCAGGACGTCCTCAAAGACTGAGTGACCGAGCAAGAAGGAGACTAGAGAGGGAGGTAACCAAGTCCTCTGAAGGAGTTACTAGAAAGTTCACCAGAAGACATGTGGAGACTCTGAAGTCAACTGGAAGAAGGTTCTTTGGTCCGAGGAGACCAGAATGGAGGTTTTTGACCATCTGATTGAACTTTGTTGGACAAACACTGAACATCATCACAAACACACCATCCAGACCATGAAGCACGGTGGTGGCAGCATCATAATGAGAAGCACGGTGGTGGCAGCATCATGACATGGGGATCTTTTCCTGGAAGGCTTGTGAAGGTAGAAGGTGAATGAATGCAGCAGAGTGTAGAGAAATCATTTTCCATCAAGCTAATGACTAAATTCTGACTAAACCAGGATTTGGAGGTGAAAAGCAGTAAAAAGGTGAAACTTCTCGACAGGCTGAGGATCAGAATCATTAAAAGCTTATAAACAGCAGCACTGAAGCCAGTTTTAGTTCCTGTAGCAGGTCCAGCATACGTTTCTGGGGTCTCTCACCATCCCGCTGTCATGGCCGGAGACGTTGGGGTCCCAGACGTCATCGTCTCCGGCGAGCGACTTCCCGTCCATCACCTGGCTGACGCTGCGTCTCAGGGCGTTCGCACTGAGCATGCCCAGTTCACCTGGCGGAGGCACGTCATCGGCGGGCTCACATTTAGCTTCCAGCACCTCCTGGAGACACAAACACACAGAAGGTTGCCGAGCTGTGAAGCAGAGCAGGTGATGGTACGTACTGATGGAGGTCTTGTGGTACCTCGACCTTCATGGTGAAGCCCTTCAGCGTGACGCTGTTGGAGAAGCCGGTCGTGTCAGGAACCGTGTCGAACTGCACAGGAGGAAAGACAACACTTCATTATCTATAAATACACTTATAGTCGGGGCCTTTTATGAGATATTTCACAGATCTGCCAACTAAGTCGTTACCAAACAGTTTCTTCATCAACATGTTTGTAAAGGTGTAATAACATGTCTGAAAATGTTCTACTCTTGTGGGAAGCCCTGAGAAAATCTACTCAAGTTAGGGTACCGATAAATGATTGACGAAACATTGTTGTTGTTTTTTTTTTAAAGTAACTTATGAGGTCACATCAGGGTTTGTTCATGATTCTGAGTTGATTGTTAGCGTTTATATTTCACCACAAACCCTCCATAGTTGGAAAAAGGCCACAATCATGTTTACATTTACATCTACAGCAGCTTTTATTTCACATCCTGATAAAACACTCTGAATTGTTTCTCATTCAGTGTCAGAAGCTTCTAGAGTCATCGTCTACGTCTTCTTCAGACTCCACAGCATCATGACTGCAGTTCCTACATGTGATGCCTTCACAGACTCCACAGGCCCAGATGCTGGTGACCCGGTTCTTCTGGCAGCTGCACCGCTGGTTGCTACAATCTCCATGACTGTTACAGCTCATGAACTTCAGTAGCTCCTCAGGAGTCATGGGGTCTAGTGTTGGAACTGGCTCATACCCACACACCCCTAATGTCCATCCATAGTCACTGGGCTTCAGAGACCTGCTCCGTAGGAGGATCCAGTCCTGGTCTGTAGGAGGATCCAGTCCTGGTCTGCAGAGGGAACGGAGAGCAGCTGAACCGTCTGTTAGAGGGAGAGTCTCTGGTCTGATCTCTCCTGCCGCCGCCTTCTTTGAGAACATGTTGGACCAAATTTGAAACAGAAACACAATTATTATTATTATTATTATTATTATTATTATTATTATTATATTTTTAAAAATATTTTTACTATGATGACAATAATGATGATGATTATTATTGTGATTACTAGTCAAAGTAATAACAGTGTTGTCATCATTACCTGTCTAACAGAGGTGTGTTCTCATGACCAGCAATCACAGAAACGGTGAGAGATTCTTCTTCAGGGCTTCCTGCTCCTCTGTCAGCCTTCACAGGGTGTGATAGGGTTTATAATGCTGACCATGAGAACACACCTCTATGTGACAGGTAATGATGATAACACTGCTATTACTTTGAATAATAATCATAATAATAATAATAATCATCATCATCATCATTATTGTCATCATAGTAAAAATATTTTTTAAGAAAAGGGGACGTGGACGAGTTCATGGATCTTCCTTTGACACAGAAGCCACCGAGGAGGCAGTGATCCAGGCTGTGATCCTCCAGAACATTTATCATGGACCAGATACTACATGGGCTGACATTTGGTCCAACATGTTCTCAAGGAGTTCGGCTCCAGACCCCCCGTGACCCTGGTGAGGATTAAGCAGTGTATAGATAATGGATGGATGGATGGATGTTCTCAAGGAAGGCGGCGGCAGGAGAGATCAGACCAGAGACTCTCCCTCTAACAGGGTTCAGCTGCTCAGCGTTCACTCTGCAGACCAGGACTGGCTCCTCCTACAGACCAGGACTGGATCCTCCTACAGAGCAGGTCTTTGAAGCCCAGTGACTATGGATGGACATTAGGGGTGTGTGGGTATGAGCCAGGTCCAAAACTAGAC